TTATGTTCAGTGAAAGAACTCCAAGCACCCATTCTTACTTATCACTAAATTCTGGTCCTAAACATGTTTCTTTTTTGCTACTTACAATTTGGCCCTGTATGATGATGAAAAGATATATATAAAAAAAAAACTCTGTGGCTCGGAACGCAAGCAAACTATACCGACTGAGTGACCGCCGCTTGTCAGCAAAGTTAGTGCCAACTTTAGCTGATAGAGGGTGTCACGTGGTCAGCGCAACAGATACCCATGACCGTTGATCTCAGTTTTCTAGACCGGAGCCGCTATTTCTCTGAAACAGCTCCTCAATTATCCTCACGAAATTGAGCTGACCCCATTCTAGAACCACTACTTCTCAGAAAATCTGGTAGCACCAGGAATCTAACCCGGGCCTCTGGATCTGTAGGCAGGAACTCTGATCACTAGACCACAGAGGCATAAAAATTAAAGTTGCCCATGTGCTTAATTAATTAAGCACCACACCATATAAATAAATATGGGAATGGAGATATAGCTCCAGTATTCTTGACCCGGGCACTAGATGGAGGTGAGGAGTCAGCTTCACGCCCTGGCCTATTTAACCCAAGGCAAAGTGCTCCTGGTACCCATCTAACAAGGGGCTGGGTGGGCTCCTGAGCCGATCTAGATGCTGTGCTGAAAAGAAAAATCTCTTGTCCCTGCCAAGAATCGAAACCCGGCCATCCGGCCCAGTGACAATAGCTATGCTGATCAGACTATTGAGCTCCCTACTACATAGGTCCTATACACACCAAAAGATAACTTACATGCACTAAACAGTAAATGTGTGTGACTGTCTACTGATGGAATGAGCTCCTTCATGCATTATACCTTATATGGAAGGAAACAGCGAGGCAGGAAATTTTCATACAGTCGATTATACGAGGGTTGGAACTTCCAGCCGCACTATGGCTCTGGGATCGACTCAGCCTCTAACAGAAATGAGTACCAGGAATCTTCCTGGGGGTAAAGGACAGTCGGCGTGTAAGGCTGGATAACCTCACTGCCATCTGTGAGCTGATTGTCTAGAAAATGTAGGAGCCTCAACGTCTCACAAACCCATGGCCATACAGAGCCCGTTACAGAGATGGGGAACCAGGATAGCTCAAGGTGTAGCAGCTGGCTACAGGCTGGACAACTGAAGGGTCGAAGTCTGAGTCACAGTAGGAACACAAATTCTCTTCTCAATGTCGCCCAGATCGGCTCTGGGCCCACCCGGCCTCCTATACAGTATGTACTGGAGGCTCTTTCCTCAGGGGTAAAGCAGCCGTGGTGTGAAGCTGACCACTCCAACCAGAGCTGAGGTCAAGAAAATGTGGATCTAATCATCCACTCCCCTATACCTCTTCATGGCATAGTGCTTAATTAGCTAAGCACAGGGATAACTCAACCTTTTTTACCTTTTACCTTTACAGAAATAATAATATCTACAGAGTACGGTATTTTGGAATGCAGGGCCATGTAGTTTGGAGAAGGTGCAACATGTCACAGATCAATCTACATAGGGCCGAAGAGTAAGTCAAAGAGCCACTGCCATGAAATTGCCAAACCACAATAGATAATTTGTGTTCAAATACATGTATATTAATGCAAGTTTTCAGATTTCTATGACTCACTTTCCCATTACTAATATGTATGTGATCCTCCAGATATTTCTTGGGATGGTACTGGGAAACTCTCTGCATCCTGCAAGAACTCAACAGAAGTAACCAACATTCTGCAGGCTGTGCAGGCTGGACCTCAGCACATCATTGCTGGCTTTGATGTCATCTCACTCTTCAGCATGGTGTCGACTGCAGAGATTTTCTACCTCCGAAGTCGACCCCTTGATGAAGATGTCATGAGACTTTCACCATGCCTTGACTTCTTCCCTCTTAAGTTCTACAGACACACTGATGAAGTGACATTGGGTTCACCACTATCTGTTGTGATAACACATCAGGTATTGAAGTGGGTGAAGGAAGGGGTGTGGATGGATGAATGGATGGATGGATGGCCAACTTACAGTTGATCCAAGCATTCAGACCACTGCTGGAGCCACTACGCAACCATGACCTTGTTATGGCCCTTCAAAGAGCCCTAACTGTAATGCTAGGGCCAGAACCATTTTAACCAAGGTCCTCTTTATATCTATCAGCTATAATGCTGCAGAGCTGAAGATCTGTTCTATGTCTGGCCAGAGCTAGACATATATCTTGCATATATTTCCTGCATATGGCACTTCCCAAGAGGTCCATGACATGTAGGCACCACCTCAACACACACAAGGCCAGGCAGCAACCCTGCTACCAGTCTACACTGTTTCCTGGTAAGGCCAGTGCTGAGACATTTTATCCAAAGGCCTTATGGTAGCAGGAGACCCACCAGCTAAGCCCTTGAATACAGGGAAAAGAAGACGCCGAGACCTCCTCAGTGAGGTGCCTGGATATGTCTCACCTCATTCCAGTGAAGCTAGACAGTTGCTCAAAATCTTCAGCGACCACTACAGTAGCTATGGAAATATAATGTCACTGTCCACAGAGCCCCACATGTGGGAAGAAGGCTCTAGATACAATGGAAGGTCGGTATGTATCCCTGAGGGCTATGGAAGCCTCAGCACAGTAACTCACAGAGCACCACTGCTTCCAGGGACCCCCACTTTGGAACAGGTAGGGTGTCTCTGCCCCCTTCTCCTGTGATTGCCAGCTTCTTCATGGGGAGCTCTGAGGGGACTGCACTTGACAGGGCTGCCCATAAGACATCTGGTAATTATGTTATGTGGATATACCTTCATTATCTGGCCCCATGAACCACAGAGGCTGCAGGGTTTCTTGCACAACTTTAGTAGTATTCACAGGAACATCAAGTTCACCATGGAGATGTAAACAGATGGCCATCTTCTCTTCCTTGAAACTGACAAGCACAATAGATCTGATTGCTTGCTGGGTCTTGCAGAGCTGCAGAAACCCAACACACCACTCTCTCTATCTAAACTCTGACCACCACTGCTGTCTCAGCAACAGCTACAGCGACTGACAGATTAGCCAGGTTGTCAATCCAAATGAGAGAGGATCCTGCCTCAGTCAACCTTCTGCCCTAGCAGGGTGATGTCTGGCCTCAACATGAAGTGTACTGGCCTCCCACTGAGGAAGATTTCTAATCTACTTCGGCTTGTGGGGGATGACCTGGGACTGAAGACACTGGACATATACAGCATTGCCTGCGAGTGCGGTCAGAACTACAGTGGACAGACCCGCCATTCCACTGACACCAGGGTGAAGCAGAATCTCTTATCATCTGGATAGTCGGCTGTGGTACAGCAACACAGCACTCACCTGGAACAGTGCGGCCAGCTCCAGAAACCAGCTCCCTATTCACGAAATCCTGACATATAATCACATCATCAAGAAGGTGACAGAGAAGAGCTCCATCAATAACACAAGCTGGGGCAGTTCCATCTACACAACTACAGTATATATTTATGCATTATAGGTATACGTTTTGGCCATACAGGCCATCTTCAGGCAATTCATACATTCATTACTGCTTCCTACAAATATGCACATTGGCCAATGTTTACACTACAACACGCTGTCTGGATTAGTTAAAATGCAGTGAGAAAGAAAGAGATATTGGATAGAATAGGGATATATGAACATGAGGGGATAGATATGGATCTGATCATTCTCTTTTGCATTGTGACGTGTGTGTTGCATGCTGTATCATGGTTTATTTCAAGTCTTGATAGTACTAGTATACCCCCTACTGTTAAGAGTCTTGGACATGTGTGTTAAGGCCGTAATCTTGTGAGCTGCATGGTGGTCTGTCTAGAGCTGGTCTTGATAATCTTCTTTGCTGTGGCAGTCTGTACAGAACAACAGTCCAGGGAAGATGATCTTTGCCTGAGTAAGTCACAGAAACTGATCATTTAGTCCCCAAAGGAACACAGGTACCCCCTTGTGTAAGAATAAGCTGTAACTTGAGGTTTCTATGCAGGATCACAGTGGCTGCATGATGTAAGGCAAGAACTGTCCTCTCCTGGTCGAGCACTGGGGTTCTGGGATCAAATCCCTCTCAAGGCATGGATGTCTGTATACATGTATTCTGTGTTTGTGCTGTCCTGTGTGCAGGTAGAAGCCTTCTGACAGGCTGATCCCCTGTCCAAGGAGTCCTACCAACAGTGTATAGGATTACAAAACTTAAAAAGGGTCCAGGGTCCAACAAAGTGCTGTAGAGCCATTAATGAATTGATGAGGTTCTATAACCTGACCCTCTGGAAATATTCCTTTTATGGCTTCCCTTCTACCTACACAGTTTTTCTCCATGTCTTTCCACTACAGTCTTTTTTCAACTTTACTTTCATATTATTTTACATTTTTTTTTATTTTGATCCTCATTCTATCTTATGTTATTTATTTTTACCTGTTTTAATTTCAGATTTATTTTGTCTCCACACCTGCTTTCCAGTCCACCCCTTTCACTTTTTATTTTATACTTATTTTATTAGTTGACTTTACCTCAATTTAATGTAAGGTTATTTAATTTTATTTTGGGTCTTTACTTTCTTCACTTTCTTTAGATTTTAACTTTCACCCCTCTTCTTATCAGAAAGACCATCTCTCCTTAGGGTCACAGGTTCCCACTCAAATTAATTCACTCTTAGCACCAGTCCCTTTCCTCCCTTCCCTATATATCACAGACTATTTTTCCCATACAGGTCATAATTCTACCATGAAGATGAAGCCCATGAGTTCCTCAAAAACGTATCTGCCAAACTACACGGCGTCACATCCTAGAAGAAAGTTATCTTCATTGCCTCTGATGTGAGAACCCCAAACCTCACAGCAGTTACAACCTTACAACAATGACATCTGGTCCCAAATGACTGCAGCATTACCATTCAAGGTAAGTATCTCACATACAGTCACAATTACAACATACAACATATACACTTTGGTAAGTGCATCTGTGTGGCAAATCCAATGCTAACAAGAAAGCATACAGACCTGAACAGTTCGTGCTTGTCCCAGACAGTGTCGGCCGGCATGCCTTTTGGAATAAGCATGTCAGGATGTGAGTCGAGGTGTATTATGGTATTTCCTTCCAAGGGAAGATGTTTCGATCCCATGCATCGGTAAATGAATGGTAGCACCTACGAGAAACAAGAACATTTCTTAGCATAATATGAGAATTTTTTTATTGCTAGTGGGGCGTGCCTAAGTCCCTTGTACTGCGGCCACCTCTGGCCTATTGTACCAGCCCCAGATGATAGGGGAGGGTGATTTTGGAGCAACTGGTGAAATGAAGGTTGGCAGGGGAAACTGAAGTACTTGGAGAAAACCTGACCCACCACCACTTTGTCCACAAATCCCACTTGACCAGACCCGGAATCGAACCCGGGCCACCACGGTGGGAAGCCAGCGACTAACCGCTTGAGCTATGGCGTGGCCATAATATGAGTAAATAATGTTTGAAATGGGCTGGATACTAGCTTTCTTCAAAGACCCAGCTTAGAGGACCAGTTACTGCTTTTTCACGTCTGACTTGCCTGGTGCCTCGAGCATGGCTTGCAGAAACACTCTCATCACAGTGACAGTTCACAGAGCTAAACTTTCAGTTCCTGAAGAGCACAGATGAAAAAGATTCAAAATCTGACATAATCTGTTAATTAAAAATAAATATTCACAAAATAAGAAAGCGAAGGACAATGACATTAAGTTTTAAATAAAGAGACTGGTTCAGATCTAGTGAACTTTAACGGTCTGAGACAATGGCCTGTCAAAATGCAAGTAAATGTTCCACATGATTGTCTTCTGCCAATGAAAATATTAGATGACAACTTTATTTTGGTTTGGGAACTTGCAAAAATAATTTCCCCTAGATGTATTAAGGATTTGATGTTCAGTTTTTGTGGCTAAGCTATTTTGTTTGGTTAACTTCGCAAAAATAATTTATCCTATATGTATTACAGATTTCATGTTCAGTTTTCATGGCTAAGTACACTCACTGAAGACTTTCAATACTGGATTACTGCACTTCTGACAAGCATTCTCATCAGCAAAACACTAGGGTGGAAATGGTTTTTGAGAACAAAGCAGAAACTTGATCCAAAGGACTCAGGGCACCAGATAAGCATGAAGGAACAACTAACACACATTACAACACAAACACTGCAAAGTAGGTTCACACAGCAAATAAAACAAATAAAACTATTCCTGTAACAGGCTGCAGAGGTCCATAGGATTGTGAGATGTCAAGGCTCCCATATTTTCTAGACAATCAGCTCACAGATGGCAATGAGCCTGTCGGCCTTATACACTGGCCACCCTTTACCCCCAGGCAGATTCCTGGTACTCATTTGTTATGGGCTGAGTCAACCCAGAGGCCATACTGTGGCTGGAAGGATTAGGTCAAATGAAAATTTACAAAACTTCAGTGGGAATCGAAACCATGACCTTCCATCCATTATATGTATACAGTGGCCATATTGTAGTGCACACAATTTCACCTGTCACTTCACAACATGTTTCGGCAACACAGTGCCATCATCAGGTGTCCCAACTACGTCAATCTATTGCATTGCCTGCCTTCATATGTTTTCACCAACCATTTAAAAAATATTTAAAAAGTCCGTGTTTGTCAACTTTGATAAATTTACACTCGCTAAAACTTGTTATTTGTCTTAATTAAAACTTGTATGTGGTTCGTTCACTACGGGGTTGTTTTTCTTATTTTCTGTGTAAACCGCGTCTTGTGATGTGTGTTCCCTTCTTAGCTGCGACTGTTGTCACAGCTAAGTTTTAGCGAGTGTAAATTTATCAAAGTTGACAAACACAGACTTTTTAAATATTTTTTAAATGGTTGGTGAAAACATATGAAGGCAGGCAATGCAATAGATTGACGTAGTTGGGACACCTGATGATGGCACTGTGTTGCCGAAACATGTTGTGAAGTGACAGGTGAAATTGTGTGCACTACAAGACGGCCACTGTATACATATAATGGATGAAAATCAGTGCAACAGGACGCTAAAATATAACATCATGACCTTCCAGCTTGTAGCATAGTGCCTCAACTAACTACTCTACTTTGTGTCCCTCACACAGTAATTAATTGTGCTAAAATAAAAGGATTCTGGAACTAAGAAGGCAGCATTCACTCATGGGTGCGCTCATTTACACTTCTATAATGGGAGGCTACATACAGGAGAGCTAAGATCTCCGTTACTGTAGCAGGCTCTGCCACTTTTCCCCCATCACTACATCCGCAATTCAGGCACTGTCCTATCTAACAGGTAACTGCCTGAGGTTCTCTCCCCAGCCACACATCTAACATAGCAAAATATAGTATGTAACATTCTAAACAAAGCATACAGAGAAATGAAATGTAATGCACTATGAAATAAGATTGTCTAAAATGAAAATAGTGCAGCACAATAATGACCTTGTAAAGATAAGATGGTTGACAAAGAAACTTTATTTACTTAATTTAATAATAAGGCAGTACTATATGGAAATCTCTGTTAGTAAAATGAAAACATTTGTTTCTAAAGCAGGGGTGGGTAAGTAATTTAGCTAATAGGCCATGTTGCTAGATAAGGCGGTCTTTAAGGGCCACACATGTATATCAATGTAAAACTGTAAATGTTCAATTCATGTCTCCCACTTACATACTAAGGAAATTAAAAGTATAAGTTTAACATGAGTTAAGAAATGTTAACCTCAACAAAAGAAGAAAAAAAAGTCCAAAGTGTTCATTTTCTTAACATTAATTCAACCCTAGGGTAAAACGGACTATCAACATTTTACATATTAATGTATTTACACAGCAGTATCAAGTGTCAACATCACTTCCTTGGCACAGCTGAAAAAAGTAAGCCACCTGAGTGTCCCAGAACTCTAACTTTTCATGAATTTTAATCACCTAAATTACAACATATTTACATGCCATCAAATTTCATGTAAATTTTGAACTGTGCAAATCTCCTTAAAGTATCCTTTTCTTCAAAATTAGAATATTAGATCCATTATATGTATACAGTGGCCGTCTTGTAGTGCACTCAATTTCACCTGTCACATCACAACATGATTACAACACTCGCAGCTATGAAGGGAACACACATCACAAGACGCGGTTTACACAAAAAATAAGAAAAACGACCCCGTAGTGAACGAACCACATGCAAGTTTTAATTAAGACAAATAAGATGAATTATCTTAACAAGTTTTAGCGAGTGTAAATTTATCATAATTGACAAATACGGACTTTTTAAATACTTTTTAAATGGTGTTGTGAAAATATATGAGGGCAGGCAATGCAATAGATTGACGTAATTGGGACACCTGATGATGGCACTATGTTGCCAAAACATGTTGTGAAGTGACAGGTGAAATTGAGTGCACTACAAGACGGCCACTGTATACATATAATGGATGAAAATCAGTGCAACAGGACGCTAAAATATAACATTAGAATATTATATTATTTAACTTCTTGTACATCTACATTCACATTAAAAGACCTCATCCTTTTCTATAATTGCTAATTAATCTTTTATGAGATTTCCTAAAACACACAAACATTTTCTTCACTCATAAAATTTATACAAAAATGATATTCACATTGCTCTTTAACTAAAACCTTTAGTTCGTTTCACAGTCGCTGAACTTCAGAGGAATTCACAGAACACTAACTATAAACTCTTTTGAAATCTGTGTGCTTTAATTATCATAACAGACGAAAGTACCCAGTGAAGACAGTTACATCTGTCTGGAAGTGACCAAGGGGATGTTGGAAAAAGGATTTTAATGTTTCACCCATAAATAATAGAGGAATAAGACTATACAGAGCATTATGTGTAACTCAGCAACATAGAAGTCTATAAACCGGGCTTTAATGACAGTGTTCAGAAGACACAACTTTGTTCAGTTTTATAAAACTGGTAAAGCATGAATATCTGCAAAGTGCACACAGCTTGCCACAGAATGCTACTACTCCACTTCTAATTCCTCTACCACGACACCACCTGGCTCTTCAGTCATAATAAACCGCTGTCACAGTATAGAGATTGTGAAGAAATGCAGCTGTAATTTGGAGGTCTGTGCTCATCTGCATTTTTTCAGCTGTTCGTTCTGGGTATGGATGACTTAAAGAACACTAATGTAAGTTACAGCGGAGAGGTCCAAATCTCCCACTCTCTTATTGTAAGGTAAAGTTGCTCTTGTGCTTAATTAACAAGGACTACACTATGCCTGATGGCAAAGAAAAATATTCACGTAATATAATACAGTAGAAAATATTATTACTAAGAGACGAAAATGTTGGGAGACATCTAATAATATTTCAGAGGCTTATTTTCAGTTTCAATGGTACACATTTGGAGTACAATGGGACAGTACATCAGCTATTCATAGACTTCAAGAAATCCTATGATTCAGTTTAGAGGGAAGTATTCTACAATATTCTGATAGAGTTTGGGGTACCCATGAAACTAGTTAGGCTGATTAAAATGTGTTTAAACGAAGTGTGTAGTAAAGTCCATGTAGGTAAACATTTGTCTGATGAATTTCCTATCGAGAATGGAGATTCTTTATCACCACTCCTTTTCAACTTTGCTTTAGAATAAGCCATTAGAAAGGTCCAGGAAAACCAGGTGGGGCTGAAATTAAACAGGACACATCAGCTGTTGGTCTATGCTGATGTGAATCAACTGGGTGATAACATAGACACCATAAAGGAAAACACAGAAACTTTAATTGATGCTTGTAGGCAAGTTGATCTAGAAGTAAACGCAGAGAAAACTAAGTATATGTTGCTGTCTCATCACCAAAATGCAGGGCAAAATCATGACATAAAGATAGGTAACGCATGTTTTGAAAATGTGGCACAGTTCAGACATTGGGGAACAACTATAACAAATCGAAACTGATTCAGGTGGAAATTAAGAGGAGATTAAACCCGGGTAATGCTTGCTACCATTCAGTCCAGAACCTTTTGTCTTCTTGTCTGCTGTATAAAAACATGTACATTAGAATATGCAAAACTATAATTTTGCGTGTGGTTCTGTATTGGTGTGAAAATTTGTCTCTGATGTTAAGGCAGGAACATAGACTGAGGGTGTCTGAGAACAGGGTGTTGAGGAGAATATTTGGACTGAAGAGAGATGAAGTGACAGGAGGTTGGAGAAAACTGCATAATGAGAAGCTTCATAACTTGTGCTCGTCTGCAAGTATAATTAGAATGATCAAGTCAAGGAGGATGAGGTGGGCAGGGCATGTAGCATGAATGGGAGAGAAGAGGAATGCATAAAGGATATTGGTGGAAAAGCCAGAAGGAAAGAACCACTGGGAAGACCAAGGCATAGGTGGGTAGACAATATTAAAATGGAGCTTAGAGATAGGATGGGATGGTATGGATTGGATTGATCTGGCTCTGGATAAGGACCAGTGGAGGGCTTTTGTGAACACGGTAATGAACCTTCGGGTTCCATAAAATTCTGGGAAGATCCTGAGTGGCTGCACAATTAGTGGCTTCTCAAGAAGGGCTCAGCTCCATGAATGAACAATGGTACATATTTGTTCACCACAACGTAATAACTGTCAAAACACAATTAATATGATACAGTTCATCCATTCTGTATACTGTTTGCGACACGTCAGTATAAAAACTGTATCCAAATTTGTTAATAAACATTACCTATACAGACATTAAGTTCTGGCTGATGTATCTTTCTTTCATTCTTTATGTACCAAAGTGAAGCTAAAATTCTTATTCTGCTCACCGTGCAGTTACGTTAGACTCGTATGTCGTATGAATAACATAGAGAGAGAGTGTGTGTGCGTGTGTTACTTTACGACTGGCTGTTTACCGCCAATCCGTTCGTCTTGGCATCAAGCCCTCTGAGAGTCACGACCAATATTTTTTATCTCGTAGTCCTCATGTAACATCCTCTCTGACGAGAGGATGGGTCTGTCGTTTACAATTGCTTCTGGTCCTCGCCAGCGCAGTCATTCTTAAGTCCGAGTCCCGTGGGACTCACGACCACATTTTACTGTCTCAGATTCGATACTCCCCCCACCAGGAGGGCCATGTCACTGTAGTTATATCCCCCGGGAACAGGGTGACCCAGGTATACTTCCAGGCACTGGGTTCCCTTTTCGTCGCCTCCTACCACTCGCAGGATCGCGCGGGTTTACGGTGGAGATATTCGACCCCACCTCCACACGGGATATGAATAACAATTTCGCCTAAGATATATTATATATAAAAGATGAAGTACTGTTTACATATATGTAAAATTAAACTGAACTGAGCTGCGTATGTACCACAGTATTCATAACCTATAACAGACGTTTCTACAACAAGTGTCACTTTCTTTACGTACGTTTTCGTACCAATTTGAATGTCAATATCAACCACGTGGTCTCCAAGCATACGAGAAAAGAGAACTGAAAATATCCAGTAACCTAAATGGGTCTTATATAGATACTTATATATAAGTAACCTATAATTAAATTTTAAATGGGTGAATACCTCATTATGATTTTCTGCAACAAATATGGGAAGTTCTTTGAATTTCTTTAGTGGAACCGCAATTTCGGAAGACGTTCCTGCCACCGCCGTCATCGCGCACGTGATCAATACACTAGTCGGAACGAATTATTATAAACACGAAAAACAAGGAACGAAAACTAAACACACGAATAAAATCCGTACGGAAATTTGTTGTAATACAAACGCATTAAACGACGACTTATAAAATTGTAAGACACGAAAACAACCACACAACTGCACACGCACCACCACAGGAAGCACTCTCTGGATCAAATATTTCACACCAGAGTGTGCTGTTGAGTAGACGCAACTACTAGTCTCATCTGTTGACAAAGACAAGTACTACAAATAGTCCAGCAGCACTCAAAATAAAGGAGGGAATATCTCCTAGTTATTTTAAGGGAACACAGTTTTTTTTTGGCGCTGAAAATTGAAAGGAGTTTATTTCTTAAGCGACTTAAAAGACCAAAATTTTTTCCCCAAAGAAATTATATTTCAACTCGGCGCTCTCCTCCATCTAGGTCCAAGGTAAAGAATGGTGGAGCTATACCTCAAGTCCCTCACACATCTTCATGCCATAATGTTTAATTAATTAAGCACAGCTACAAGTTTACCTTTACCCATTATTCTATAATGTATTCACCCAAAATCGTCAGCATCTCATACAGAAACTATTGCAGGAACAACAGAATTCAACTTGAGTTGTGTATTGTAACTTAGTCATCATGGGTGAGCTGTACTGAGAAAATGTATGTGTACATATCATATCTTATCAGTCCGGCATACTTATAACAAGACATCACTAACACTCAAGTCTCTCAGGCTTTCAGAATGAAATTAATACATTAATATAAATGATCTCCCCACAATTTTCAATGATTCAGTTAAATCAGTATTGTATGCAGATGATACAAGCTTAGTCATTAGCAGTTGGAATAATAGCCAGTATAGTAAAGATGTTAATACCTCTTTCACTTGTCTTAATGAGTGGTTTAGTACAAACAGGTTGACCTTAAATTTTAATAAAACTAAACATGTTCAATTTGAGACAAAGCCTAGAACGAATAATGTAACTTCTATTCGATATTGTAATAATGGGATTTTAAATGATATAAACATGAAATTTTTGGGGATTGTTAT